GGAAAGAAGTAACCCTATGGCATCTGGATTCATTTACCTTACTAAATGTCTCCACAGGCCCTGGTGAAAAGAGGGATCAAGGCGATGCTCATGACTGCTGATGATGGACAAGAAATAATAAGAGGCTACTTGAATAAGGGTACAATTTTGGGTTTTCCCTGTTTTCTCTACTAGTTAAGTCTGAAGCAGAACAGGAGTCCCTCAGATGCTTCATTTTTTTTCATTTCCCATGGATGGGCACCCTTAGTTTTTGGTTCAAAGTAGTGAGGGCTTCCAGTTAAAGCTGAGTTAAGGAACCAGTCCCTACTTTGCTGCTCCACCAGGGGTTACCCACAGAGCATCAAAAGTGCAGAACACTTACTCTATCCTCTTAAGCCTTAGTGGCTAAAGTGGGGCCTGGCCAGGACCAGAGTAAATGCCTTCTCTGTTATTACCAAATGACCATGACTGAGTGACAGAAAGTGGATATGAGGTCAGATAAATAGTATTGTCATGGGCCCAGCCTCAGGATCTCATAGGGTAAATAAGCCTAGGGGATAAAAGAAGTAGAGAAACATGGAATAGAATTATAAGGAAGAAATATGGGTAAATACAAATAAAAAAGGGAAAAATGTGTACAAACAGAGTCAGAGATCAGTGCTTTTTGAAATACTTTAACCCAAGCAGTTTTATCAGGTCCTTTCTCCTGTGTTGGTCTCTCCTCAGACTTTTTGGTAGTTCTTCATTTTGTAGTGGGAAAGGCAGAAATAGTACTCTTAATTAGAAGCCAGGAGACCTATAATCAAGTTTTAGGTCTTAGACTATTTTGAGCTCATTTTTTTTCATTTACTCGTAAGTATAAAGTGGTTTATTTTAACTGCCTTTTTTATTCTCTGGGTCATCCATTATAAATGTTAAACAAAGGGATGTGTTTGTATAGTGAATGTATGGATACAAATGTAGAATCATATTTTTATTATTAACTGTAAGCCATAAACTGTTAATGTGAAATATCTGTGAGGTGTGTGTGCAAGAGGTGTTGAGACCCAGCTCTCCATCCTGGGTCTAGTAGTAAGCCCGCCTTACCCCAACCCCGACTTGACAGTGCTTGTAGTGGGATCTACAAAAGAGTTTCTCTTTTCCCTCCACAGTGATTGCCACTGTCCATATGAAGAATATAAAGAAAGAAACTTATAAAAACCTCTTTTCAATTCAGGTAAGGACATTTCAGAGATAGGAGTTGTTTTGATTCTTGCTCTTGCTAAGATCTCAGCTTATTTGTTAGGGAGATTCTCAGCAGTGATTAGTTCACTTAAAACTTGGACCTGTTATGCCTTTGAAATACCTGCTCTAGGTGGTTTTAGGTAGAACTAAATCAAATTTGCATGCCCCAAATGCCTGGCCCATAGTCCCTCAGTAGTATACAGGATGGGAAACATAACATACTAGAAAGGCAGCATCAGTGGAAGTTCTCACAGCAGTCCAGAGACTATCTGCCCCCTACCCTGAAGTGGCATGTCAGGTTTCAGGGAGTGGAAACACAGATATGAGTGAGAGCCATCCTGGCAGAGGAGCCTCAAGCTCAGTATAGGAACCAACCAGTATCCCCTGTCATAGCTCTATAGGTATAGCTTCCTGGTTGACTAAGGTGATCTCTTGGTTTCAAGATACACTATACTCAGAAAGCTATGGCTCACAGTAGGAATTTATACATTATTTATAGTCCTCCAGTTCTGATGCTATTTGCTAATCAGAGGCCATTTTACCATAGCAATCTGGCTGATAACATGGGTAACATTCTACCTTTATCAGGTTTTCAGGTGGACCTACAGTGAATTTGCATGGGCAAAGAGGAAGGATTTTGTTAACCCTTTATTCATCCCCATTGACCTTTAATTACTTATGGTCCAATGAGAAAGACAAGAAATGTAAATAGCTCAGAATAGCAAGTGATAATTACAATAAAAGCATTAATGTATAACTGGAGATTAGAGTGTGACATAGATTTCTATCACCAGAGGAGATGAGTGGTTACATGTTTTATTTTGCACAGGACTGAACTATGGTATGAGGAGCAAAAGAGGCATCTGTTAATTGCCATCAACATAAGGCAATGCCTCTGTTCTATATTCTATAAAAAGTTAAACCCCCAATCTTATCCTCCTGCAGTCTGAGACCACCAAGATTTAGAGAGGAGTACAAAGGGATGTGTGTCCAACCATAACAACTGGACCAACATCAGATAATGGTACAAGTAATACAGAGATGTGCAGAGATCAGAGTGAGTGCATTCCAAGAGAATAGGAAGAGAGAACATAATTTCTGGGGCAAAGTAAACACTCAAATAGATGCTAACATGATAATGACGATGGATTAAAAAAATGGAGCAATAAAACCAGTGGAATCAAGGGTTAAAAGTGCTATGCTGTCTATAGGGAGCAAAATCCTGAAAATGAGGTCATTTATTCATTCAGTCAATCGATAAATGTTTTTAGCACCTACTATTTGCCAGTTATGTACTTTTTAAGGCAATGTGGATAAAGCTGTGAATAAAACCCACAAAATTACCACTTTTGGAACATATATTTTAGTGATGAGACAAGTAAACAAATAAAGGCAAATACAGAGTATGAGATAGTAACAAAAGCTAGGAAACATTATATAATAATATTTATATGCACAGCTTTTAGTTTATTTCACCTTTCTATTTTTCATGTTTATTTTTTCAATTATCATATAAGAAACTATTCATTTTATTCCCATTTTGCAGATGAGGAAACCATGATTCAAAGGTTAAATTACTAATTTGAGATCACATGTGGATAATCATTCAATAGAACAATCCATGCTTAAACTCAAACCTTCTGCATACAAATCCTATGCTCTTTTCACTGTTTTATACTATATACCATCTAAATACCTTCTCTGATGAGAGAAGGATTTATTGTGATATGGGAGTTTCACAAGGCGAAAGCCCAGGTATGCTTCCTAGCACAACCTTGAAACAAAGAAGCAATTCTTAATGGCTGTGTGAATACTAGCCATGACTGTACTCTCAGGGCTCAGCCCAAATGGAGCAGGCAAAACCACGGAACTCCCAATCTTTCCATGAAAGAGGTCTATCTACATACTTTAAAAGATGCTGCCTGAGGGCCAGGCTTCTAATTTATCAGGCATCTAAGGCTGCGATCTTTGCAAGTCCTGGGAAAGTGGAAGACACCTCTCATACCTCTTTCCAGCCTATTCCAATAATAAAACCAAATTACCAGGAACTCTCTAGAAGGAGCTTATACACACATCTGGGGCCCAAATTTTACAGCAGCCACCCAAAGAATAGGTCCCTGGATCTCTTGGCCCTAATAGCCAGCAGGACTTGTATTCATACATCCCATAGGACTGTAGCAAACAAACAGTCCTTAATGGGTGCAGAAGCTCCTCCACTCCCATCCCACTCACTGTGGGTATACACATTGGCCCAACACAGAGGAAATGGGGAAAAATGCCCATCTCCCATTTTGTTCCAGATAAGGACTTAGCAACATATTTTCCCAGCTGGTAACTGAGAGTCCAGTTTTTAACCAGCCTGAATGTAGGTGCTGACTCTGATATTCTCCTTTGAGATACTGACAGGTCATGGCACACCCTCAAATACTGTGAACTACTAAAAACAAAGAAGGCATTTTGAGCAATCACAAAAGTTTGAGAGACAACCAGAAGCTTAGGCTGAACTAATTATTGAGGTTCATCTCCTATATGAGACAATTCTGTCAAAACTGGGAAAGGAGGCTGTTTTATCTAATGCACAGAAACCAACATAGAGAATCAAGGAAAATGAAGAAACAATAAAATATATTCTAAATAAAAGGCGAAAATAAAACTCCAGAAATATATAAGTGAAACGAAGATAAGTGATTTGCCTACTAGAGGGAGGGTTCAAAACAATAGTCAGAAAGATGCTTACCAAAGTCAGGAGAGTAATACATACACAAAGTGTCAATTCCATCGGAGAGATAGAAAATATTAAAAAGTACCAAACAGGAATCACAGAGCTGAAGAATACAATAACTGAACTGAAAGATTCATTTGAGAAGTTCAGCATCAAACTAGGCAAAGTGAAAGAAGGGATCAGCAAACTCAAAGACAGGGCAGTGGAATTTATCCAATCTGAAGAAAAAAAAAAAAAAGATTGCTTAAGGGATTTATGAGACACCATCAAACAGATTAATATACATATAGAGGTCCCAGAAGAAGAAAAGAGGGTGAAAGGGACAAGAAGCTTATTTAAAGAAATAATGACCATGAGCTTTCCTAACTAGAGAAATATAATCCACATCCAGGATGTCCAGAGAGTTCTCAATAAGATGAATCCAAAAAGATACATGCCAAGACACACTATAATTGTCAAAATTTAAAGAAAAAGAAAGAATCTTAAGAGCAGCAAAAGAAAAGCAGCTTGTAACAAGGGAACCCCCAAAGGACTATCAGCAATTTTTTCAGCAGGTATATTGAGGCCAGAAGGGAGTGAGATGATATATTCAAAGTTTTGAAAGAAAATAATTGCCATCCAAAAATACTCTACCTAGCAAAGTTCTTCAGAATTAAAGGAGAGGTAAAAGTTTTCCAAAAAAAGCTAAAGGAATTCATCACCACTAGACCAGCCTTATAAAAAATGTTAAAGTGAATTTTTCAAGCTGAGATGAAAAGATGATAATTAGTAACAGGAAAACATTAACATATAAATCTTGCTGGTAAAGGTAAATATAGTTCAGAATAGTCTGATGTTGTATGGTGATGGGTAAATAACTTGTAACTCTGAGATGAAGGTTAAAAGACAAAACTATTAATAATAACTCTAAGTACAATTTGTTAACAGATACACAAAGTAGAAAGAAATAGTTACATGTAAAACATAAAAGGTCATGGGAGTAAACAACATGTAGAGCTTTAGTATGAGAAGATAAGTTGTTACTAGCAAAATAGACTATTATAAATACAGGATGTTTTATGTAAGCTTCTTGGTAACCATAATGCAAAACCTTGTAGTAGACGTACAAAAGAGTAAGAGAAAGCAATCAAAACATACCAGTACAGAAAATCATCGTCAGAAAAGAAGACAGCAAGAGAGGAAGAAAGAAACAAAGGAATTACAGAACAACCAGAAAAACATTAATAAACACAACTGCAAGTCTCTACCTATCAATAATTACTTTAAATGTAAATGGATGAATGAATTATAAAAGAAGACCCAATTATATGGGTCTCTTGCCTACAAGAGATGCACTTCAGCTTTAAGGATCCATATAGACTAAAATGGAAGGAATGGAAAAAGATACTTCATGCAAATAGAAGCCAAAAGACTCCAGGGATAGCTAAACTTATATCAGACAAAATAGACTTTAAGATAAAGTTGGTATCAAGAGTAAAAGAGGTCTTTATGTATTGATAAAGGGGTCAATTCATCAAGAGAATATAACAATTTTAAACATTTATGCACCTAACAGAGGAACGCCTAAATATGTAAAACATATATTGACAGATCAGAAGAGAGATAGACAGGAATACAGTAATAATAAGAGACTTCACTACCGCAATACTAGAGAGATCATTCAGACAGATAATAAATAAACATTAGACTTAAATTACTTGTTAGACCAGATAGACCTAATAAACATACAAAAAATTTCAACCAATAATAGCAGAATGCACATTTTTTTTTCAAGCTCATATGGAACATTCTCCAGGATAGATCATATGTTAGGCCACAAAACAAGTTTTAATAAGTTTAAGATTAAAATTATATTAAGCCTCTATTCTAATCACAATGGTAGGAAGCCAGAAATCAATTATAAGGAGAAAAACCAGAAAATTCACAAATATGTAGAGATTAAACACCATGCTTTTGAACATCAAATGGGTCAAAGAAGATACCAAAAGGGAAATTAAAAAATGTATTGAAACAAATAAAAATGGAAACACAACATACCAATATTTATGAGATGCAGCCAAAGCAGTTCTACGAGGGAAGTTTATAGCAATAAATGCTTACATTAAGAAAAAAGAAAGATCTCAACAATTTACACCTGATGCAACTAGAAAGAGAACAAACTAAGGTAGCTCAAATTTAGTAGAAGGAAGGAAATAAATCATAGTAGAAATAAAATACTTATTAACTATATAAATATTTAAATAATAAAATGATATAGGAAAGAGAATAGAAAAGATCAATGAAGCCAAAAATTAGTTTTTAAATAAACAAAAATTGACAAACATTCAGCTAGACTAAGGAAAAGAAGACAATAAGTGAAATTATAAATGAAAGCAGAAAATTATAGCTGGTACCACAGAAATACAAAGGATCATTGGAAACTACTACAAACAATTATATGCCAACAGATTAGGTAACCTAGAAGAAATGGATAAATTCCTAGAAACATAAAACCTACTAAGTGTGTATTATGAAGAAATAGAAAATCCGAACAGACCAATTACTAGTAAGAAGAGTGAATCAGTAATCAAAAACATCCCAACAAAAAGTTCAAGACTAGATGGCTTCACTGGTTATTTCTAGTACCAATCCTTCTCAAATTCTTCCAAAACATAGAAGAGGAGGGAACAATTCCAAGCTCATTTTATGAGGCCAGCATTAACCTGATGCCAAAGGCAGATAAGGACACTATAAGAAAATTGAATCCTAGGCCAATATCCCTGATGAACATAGATGCAAAAAACCCTTAAAATATTAGCGAACTAAATTCGACAATACATTAAAAGGAACATACACTACAACCAAGTGGGATTTGTTCTTGGGATGCAAGAATGGTTTCACATATTTAAATCAATAAATGTGATCCATCCCATTAACAAAGGATAAAATTTATATGATAATCTCAGATGTAGAAAAAACATAAAATACAACATTCTTTTGTGATAAAAATGCTGAACAAATTAGGTGTAGAGGACATATACCTTAACGCAATAAAGGCCACATGTGACAATCCCACAGTCCACATCATACTGAGTAGTGAAAAGCTGAAAGCTTTTCCTCTAAGATCAGGAACAAGACAAGATTGCCTACTCTCGCCACTTTTATTAAACTAGTACTGGAAGTCCTAGCCAGAGAAATTAAGTAAAAAAAAGAAATAAAAGACGTCTGAGTCAGAAAGGAAGAAATAAAACTATTTCTACTTGCCGATGACATATACCATAGAAAACCCTAAAAAGTCCACCAAAGAATTGTTAGAACTAAGGAAAGATTTTAGTGAAGTTAGAGAGTACAAAGTCAATATATAAGAATCAATTGTGTTTTTATACACTATTAACAAACTATCAGAATGAAAAATTAAAAAAAAAAATACCATTTACAGATTCAATGCAATCCCTATCAAAATTCCAGTGGCATTTTCCACAGAAATAGAAAAAAAAAACTCTAAAATTTGTATAGAATCACAAAAGACCCCAAATAGCCAAAGCAATCTTAAGGGAAACAAAGTTGGAAGCATCACATTTCCTGATTTCAAACCACATTACAAACTTACAGTCATCAAAACAGTATGGTATTGGCATAAAAATAGACAATGAAATCAATGGAAAGACTAGAAAGTCCAGAAATAAACCTGTGTTTTTATGATCAATTTTCAGTAAAGGTGCTAAAAATATACAATAGGGGAAAGGATAACCTCTTCTACAAATGTTTTTGGGAAAACTGGATAGTCACATACAAAGGAATGAAACTGGACCTCTATCTTCCATCATAAACAAAAATCAACTCAAAATGGATTAAAGACTCAAATGTAAGACTTGACACTGTAAAACTCCTAGAAGAAAACATGGAGCTGAGCTTGATTTTAATCTTGGCAATTATTTTTATTTATTTTTTATTTTAGATGTGACACCAAAAGCAAAGGAAACAAAAGCAAAAATTAACAAGTGGAACTGCATCAGACTAAAAAGCTTTTGCACAGCAAAGGAAACTTATAGACTAGGAGAAAATATTTGCAAACCATATATCTGATATGCCTCTGGAATATCCAAATATATATAAGGAACTCATACAACTCAATAGCAAAAGAACAAATAACCCAATTAATAAATGAACAAAGGACCTGAATGGCATTTTTCCAGTGAAGACATACAGGTATCCAACAGGTACATGAAAAGATGTTCAACATCCTTAATCATGGGGGAAATGTATATCAAAACCACAATAAGATATCACTTCACACCTGTTATGATGCCCATTATCTAAAAGACAGAAGATAATGCTGGGGAGGATGTGGAGAAAAGAGAACCCTTATAAACTGTTGATGGGAATGTAATTTGGTATAATCACTGTGGAAAACAGTATGGAGGTTCATCAAGAAATTAAAAATAGAACTGCCATATGATTCAGCAATCTTATTTCTGGGTATATATGCAAAAGAAAATCCTGAAGAGGTATCTATACTCCCATGTTCACAGCAGTATTATTCACAGTAGTCAAGTTATGGAAACAGTCTAAGTGTGTGATGATGGATAAATAGATAAAGAAAGTGAGTATATTCAGACTTAAAAAGGAAAGAAATCTGTCATTTGTGATAACGTGAATGAACTCGATAGCAGTATGCTAAATGAAATAAAACAGACAGTGAAAGACAAATACCATATTGTATTATTTATATGTGGAATCTTTAAAAAAAGCAAACTCATGAAACAGAGAGTAGAAAAATGGTTGCTAGAGGCTGGGGGAGTCAGGCAGTAGGGAGAGGTTGGTAAAAAGAGATAAACTTTCGCTGATAAAATAAGTTCTGAGGATCTAATATGTAATATACTGACTATAGTTAGTAACACTGTACTGTAGAATTGAAATTTTAGAGTAAAACTTAAATATTCTTACCAAAAAAAAAAAAAACTAAAAATAAGAATTGGAAATGAATCTCATGCTAAAGGTAAAACTCACTTGGTGGCATCTTCAAAATTTTGGAGTATTTTCATGTGAAAGGGAAATTCTTTATAGTACTAGAGAACAGAATTAGTTTCAGTGGGTAAAATGAATAACAGCATATATTGGTTAACATAAAAGTTGTAATTTCTAACTATTTGAATTCTTCAAAAATGGAATGAACTGCTTTGTGTGGCAATGAATTCCTCAGTACATGAAAAAAAGTGGCTACAAAATGCTTGTATGTAGTTCACTATTTAGAAATGGCGATGCCTACCTCAGGTAAGGAGTGATACACTAGAAAATCTCAAAAAAAATTTCTAATGTAAGAATCTGATTTGGGGATTCTATGAGATTGAGACGAAAGAAGCTGCCGGAGCTTGAACCACATGAGTTTAATTTAATTAACCTTAAAGGAGTAAGAATATTATTTTTAGTATTGAATAGAATTTTCTAAAAATGTTAATTATGAAGAATGCCAGGCATAAATATACATAAAGATAAGTCAAATAACATGATTTGGTGGTGGATCAAGTTAGCAATATTTTCTTTTACTTTCTTTGAAGCATTTGGCAGCTTGGGCATGACAAGGATGCTATAGGATTGTGTCCCAGAGTTGGAGGTTATAACAACAGTAGGAGCAGAAATTCAAAGGATGGATTAACTCTGCAGCACTAGAAGGAAAAAAACTGAAAAGGCTAAATTTGGAGTCTAGGCATGAATAGAGTGTCTTCATTAGTGCCAATGGCTTTGAAGGATGAAGGAACTAGAGATGACACAGGGATAGCAAAGGGAAGAATGGGAACTGAGAGATGTGTGAGAATTCTGGAACTTAGGAATTAACTTTCATTTAATGAGATTCAACATTTTTGGCAGTTTGTAGTGCTTCCTCTGCATCAGGCAGTTCCTTACTAACCCTCTATACTGGTTACTCAAGGGAATGAAGAGATTCTTTTGTTCTAGAAAGGGAAATGCAGCAATGACAGTTGATTCTACTGAAGCCTGAGTGAGAAGGCTAGTGAAACCACAGTAATAACAAGAGCAGGAAAATTATGTAAGATGGAAGGGTAGAACTCAGAGATTGTGAGCAGTCAGGCTATGTTCTGAGTTGTAAAGGGTTTATGTGAGAACTGAACCTTATAATTCTCTCCTAAACAATTCAGGGCTTCTCAATTGACCCCACTTTAATAAATTGACACTTTATTTTTCTCAGGGTCTTAGCCCCATATTAATGATGGTATATACAACAAGCTCTTCGGATAGTTGGGGCCATAGCCACCATACTTTGGATTCGCATGGTGAGTACTCCTTAGTTTCTTTCACAAGAGAATGGATGACATAGATGCCACTAGTCTTCCCCCCTCCCCCTGCTGATTAGAGTACTAGGGATTTAGGGCACAAATCTGCCAAATCTTATGGCTTTTTGAGAATTAATGTGATTAAGTGGACACCTTACAAATTTCCAGTCAGGATAGTAGAATAGGTAAATGCTGTGATTACCTCCTCTCACAACCACATCAAAATTACAACTAAACTATAGAACAACCATCATTGAGAATCACTTGAATTCTAGCTAAACAAAAGTTCTGGCACTAAAGATACACAGAAGAAGCCACACTGAGACTGGTAAGAGGAGTGGAGATACAGAATGGGCTAGCCCCATACCTGCCTGTGGCATTTAAAAATTGAGAGATATATTTCAGCTGCAGAAGTGCCCTCTGAGGAGCAAGGGGTCCTGGCCCCACACCAGGTTCCCCAGCCCAGGGTTCCAGTCCTGGGATGAGAAGTCTTCACAACTTCTGGCTGTGAAAACCAGCAGAGATTGTGGCTAAGTGAGACAGAGGGCTGTTGGAGTACCAAGCATCCCCTTAAAGGGCCCGGGCACAGGCTTACTCACTGATGAATTCACTTGTTCTGAACTCCAGTCCTGGGATAGCAGCTTGAAAGGTGCCAGCAACATGCAGGGAGGAACTGGGCTGTTTGGCTTTAGGGCAAGGGCTGGAGGGCAGCTTTCTACCAGAAGAAGTGCTGGCAGAAGCCATTGTTCTTTTGTTGTGTCCTTCCGCTACCCAGGCAGGTGCCATAACTGAGTATCCATCAACCTAGCTAACATCACCTTGCCCTGGTGATTCTCTTAGGCCTTGCCTGACTCAACTTGTGGGCCTACCCAAGCCTTTTATAGTGGTTTTCCCCTACAAACAGCCTGTCTTGGTTCATGCTGTGAACTTTCCTAAAATCTCTCAAAAGTTCTAAACCCTAAAAAAGCAACATCTGCCTTAGAATGCTTTATACCTCTTGCTAAGCAGCCCCAAACACAGCACTAGTGGCAGCCTGCCTCAGTTCACAGCTTAGCCTCTCACAGGCATCTCCAAGCCCAGCATAAGTAACAACAATCTGCATATCACTTTGTAGCCCATAACAAGTGTGACTTTGTGGCTGACCTTGGCCTACACCAGAGCCTCTCCCAAGAAGTCTCAGAACCAGCACACCTGGTAGCCACCTTCAGACCACACCAGAGCACACTCAACCATTGCCACAAATGACACACTCAAAGGGCAGACTCAGCAGGCATCAGGGCCTTGCTAAAGCAAATCTCGCTCGATAAGGCCAGCCCCTGCACAACAGCTCCTCCGCTGTAGTCATAGCCAGTCCTAATAACCCGTCAACCTGAGGATCAGTCTCTTTCACTGACACGCCAAGAGCAGTTGAGGCTTAGCTACAACAGGGGACACACAACCCATATAAGGGACCCACCAGGAAAATCCAGATCAGGTGACCAGGGAGATAGTGCCACTGGCCCCCACAGGACACTATGTAAGGCCACTCTTCTAAGACTGGGAGACATAGCAATTCTACCTAATACATAGAAATAAATACAAGGAGGCAGTCAAATGAGATAAAGAAACATGTCCCAAGTGAAAGTACAGATCAAAGCTCCAGAAAAAGAACTAAACAAAGTGGATACAAGCAATCTGCCATATGCAGTGTTCAACACACTAGTTTATAAGGGTACTTAATGACTTCAGTGGGAATTTCAACAAAGAGATAGAAAACATGAAAATGGAGATAGAAAACATAAAGAACTAGTCAGAAATTAAGAATATGATAGCCAAAATGAAGAATACCTCTAAGGTAGATTTGATGAAGCAGAGAATCAAATTGGTGATTTGGAAGACAAGGTAGCAGAAAACACCCAATTAGTACAGCAAAAAGAAAAAAGAATCCCCCAAATGAGGATAGTTTAAAGGGCCTCTGGGACAATATCAAGCATAACAACATTCGCATCATAGGGGTACCAGAAAGAGAAGAGAGAGGGAGCAAGGAATTGAAAACCTATTAGAAGAAATAATGACGGAAAACTTCCCTAAGCTGGTGAAGGAAATAGACAACCCAAATAAGATGAACCCAAACAGGCCCACACCAAGACACATCATAATTAAAATGCCAAAGGTTAAAGATAAAGAGAGAATCTTAAAAGCAGCAAGAGAAAAGCAGTTACCTACAAGGAAGATTCCATAAGGCTGTCAACTGATTTCTCAACAGAAACATTTTAGGCAAGAAGGAATTGGCATGAAATATTCAAAGTGTTGAAAAGCAAGAACCTATAACCAAGGTTACTCTACCCAGCAAAGCTATCATTTAAAATTGAAGGACAGATAAAGAGCTTCCCAGACAAGAAAAAACTAAAGGAGTTTATCAGCACCAAACCAGTATTACAAGAAATGTTAAAGAGACTTCTTTAAAGAGAAGAACAAAAAAAGGATATATGAATAATAAAATGTCAGTAACTACATATCTAGTATTTACACTACATTTACATTAGTTTAGATGTCAATGAATAAATGCTCCAATCTGAAAACATGGGGGTGGCCGAATGGATAAGAACACAAGACCCTTACATATGTTGTCCGCAAGAGAGTCAATTCAGATCGAAAGACACGCACAGACTGAAAGCAAAGAGATGGGAAAAGATATTTTGTGAAAATGGAAATGGAAAAAAAAAAAATGCTAGAGTAGCAATGCTTGTACCAGACAAAATAGACTTTAAAACAAAGACTAAGAAGAGACAAAGAAGGACCCAATAATTCCACTTCTGGGTATTTATCTGAAGAAACTCATAACATTAATTCTAAAAGATACATGCATCCATGTTTATTGCACCATTATTTACAGTAACCAAGATATGGAAGCAACCTAAATGTCCATCAGTAGATGAATGGATAAAAAAATGATACATGTACACATTGGAATATTTCTCAGACATAAAAAAGAATGAAATGTTGCCATCTGCAACACCGTGGATAGACCTAGAAGGTGTTATGCTAAGCGAAATGTCAGAGAAAGAAATATTCTATGATTTCACTTGTATGTGGAATCTAAAAAACAGAACAAATGAACAAACAACAGAATCAAACTCAAAGATACAGAGAACATTCTGATAGTCGACAGATGAGAGGAGGGTTGGGGGGAAGGGATTAAGAGGTATAAATTGATAGTTACAAAATAGTTATGGAGGTGTAAAGTACAGCATAGGGAATATAGTCAGTAATATTGTAATGACTGTGGTGTCAGATGAGTACTAGACTTATCAGGGCGATCACCTTGAAAGTTATGTAAATGTCTAATCACTATGTTGTATACCTGAACCTAATATAATATTGTATGTCAACTATAATTGAAAAATAAAAATATTATATTTTATAAAAAGTAGAGACCTTACAGACATCTGTGTAGGTAAAATGATAACATAGAATGGTCACCCCAGAGGTCAGTGAATTTTGAATTTTTAGCAGGGTTTCCATTCTGATTATAATTTGTTAAGGCTACTAATATAATTAGAATGAATTGTTCTGACAGGGCAATTTAATGAATGTGTACTGGATGGAAGTAGAATGTTATCTGGTCTAGATTATCTGCCATGTCCTTCCGGGGGAGTTTACAAATATCATTAAAATATGATTTGAAGGTAAATGTTCTTCATGCTATGATTTCAGATCAGTCACTGTGAGAAGTTACTAAGTGCTTCAGAAACACTGAACTGGACACATATTTACCTGAGATAAAGATATACAAACAAATGTTTAATACATGCAGTTTGAAAACTCAACGAGGTACTATTAATTCCCTCGAACTTTAATTCTCTCCCCCATTTCTCCTTTTCTGCTTATCTGCAGTGTTAATGAAAAACGTGCATGAAATGTTCAACTTGAGGTTCTCCTTCAACTTCTACATGTTCCATGGTGGCACCAACTTTGGCTTCATTGGTGGAGCTTCTTCTTTGAACAGTTATCTCCCTGTGGTCACCAGCTATGGCAAGTACTTGTACCCCACAGGTGTCTCCAACCTAGGCTACTCCCCCATTTGAGAGTGGAGCTTCTTGAGGTGGGCCTCTGAGACCAGTCTTTGGAACTGTTCCTCTCTTTGCCTTTAACATATGCTGGGGGTTGACGTTTTAATATTTGTTCTTCTTGACAGTGCTAGAACTCACCCACTGCTAGAATCTAGGCTGTCTGGGACTTTGCAAGCTGAGAATTGGCAGCTCAGTCGTGTCTATCCACTGTGCAGTCCCTTGTTCTTAGCGGTTCATTGTAAAACTAGTTATTTGGATCTCCCGACAGCACTAAGGTATTGATTAATAGGTCTTCCCCAGTCTACAAACCAAGAGACCAAGTGAAAAGTCAAGGGTGAAAGAAAGAAATGAGTTCAATTAGAAATCGATTAGGAAGGAGAACCTACTGGATTAGAGTAGCCTTGGGCTCTCAGACAGGGCTTACTGGATACCCAGGAACTGGTGCTATTTGCCTCTAATCAAAAGCTCTAACCAGCATGGCAGATGTCTCCTGGTTTGAACTAACTGGGACTTAGTATTTTCTGTCTAATGGCAAAAGTTTTTGTCCCAGAGCTGTTGTATTAAGGATCCTCTTGCTCAGTACTAAACTCTCATCCTTTCTTTTACTGAAGCTAGGGCTTTCTTATAGAGTGACATATTTATTTATATTTTTCAGACTATGGGGCACTGCTGACAGAAGATGGAAGATATACACCTGAGTATTTCACTTTTCAACAGTTTTTTAACTCTGTTATAGGTACTAGCAATAACCTCATTCTGAATGATAACTCAGACCCTCAAGTGACAAGGGGAGCGAAGGCACATCCCAAAGATGTTTTTTTTGGGGGGAGATGTCCAGTTTACTCTAGTTTATTTTATCATTTGGCACTGGGGATTCAAATATGAACAAGATACAGAGCCTACTCTCTAAGCATTCAATATCTAGGGCTGTGTTGCTTAGTCTTGGCTGTGCATCAGAATCCTTTGTGGAACTTCTAAAACCAAGGTGCCGGCCCTTCCCAGAGCTATAAGTTTGTCTTGGTTGAAATGAGGAGGAAGGGGCAGAATCTGAGCATACATATTTTCCCACTGCATATTAGGAGATTCTGATGAGCAGCCAGGGTTGATAACTACTGATCCAGCAGTGGGATTGATGTGCCACCTGCTTTTCTAGGACAGCAGGGCACCCTGCCTCAGAGCCTATGGATATGAAAGGAATCCTACTCAATCATTGTCTGCCTTATGACTCTTCCTGAACTTGGGATTGCATGCCCTGTGACTATGTCCTTCATTCTTAGTGGCTTTGGAAGAGCAGAGTACATTGTGCCCTTGAATGTGGTTGAGGGAAGATTCTGGTATGGCTTAGCCTCCTATTTTTCATTTCAGAGGTTCCCATGGCCCAGCAACCAGATTATAAACCTGTGGCTAAATATAAGTCAGTGATAACATCATACTTCATACCACTTTGGGACATCATGCCCTACCTGGAGCAGGTAGGTATTTTCTGGTCATAGAACCAAGGGATAGCCTTTGGACAGAAGAGAGAGGAGGGAAAGGCTTAGTTCAATGGAGTCTAGTCCAGGCTCTATCATGAATTGGTGAGCAAATTCAACAAATCATTCCTTTTTATTGACTTCAACTTATTCATCTTAAAATATATATATATATATATTATATATATATATATATATATCTCACTGGCTAGCACATGCAGAGAAATATGAGGTAAGTTTGGAAGACAAAAGGGGCAATTAATATGTGACACTTAAACATTATTATTACAAATTATTTTTTATACTCTTGTCCCTAAGACTCTTGGGGTCACTCTTTTGGAAAAGTGGGCTTTGGGTCGGGGTTTCTAAAATGTTTCTTTCCAGCCAAGCTTCAGCCTGGTTTTTGCTCCTGTTTCTTTCACAGCCCATTATGTCTGCCAGGCCAATCTGTATGGAGAAGCTGTCTGTGAACCAAGGGAGTGGTCAGTCCTATGGGTACATACTTTATGAGACTGTCATCTTCAGTGGAGGCATCCTCACCTCAAGGGGTCATGTTCGAGATCGGGGTCAGGTAGGGAACAAAGGGTGGGTCCCAGTGGCTCTTCTCTGTTAGTAAAATCCAATGATATTTCTGAGGTGAATGACTAAACAATAGTCAAACATCTTTGACCTTCAAAAAAATCACTGTTTCTTAACCTCTGTCCCTTCACTGAAATGTTTTATATGTAAGCGAAATGTAGAAATATAAGTCTAAGGTATGTATTCATTCCTGGAACGGTAGTCATTGAACTCTTATGGGAGTTAACGGTGTTTCTTAAGAAGACTTGGGAAGAGCTTCAGAAGCCCCTGTACTTATTGCACAGCAATCTCTAACATTTACATAGCACATTACAGTTGGCTCTTCTCATTTCATTTTCAAAATACTCATCTAATGTATTTATTGCAAATGAGGAAATCTCAGAGAAGTTAAATGACTTTCAAAGGATATTTGACTAGAAAGTAACAGAGTCAAGGTTAAAGGCTTCATGATCTCACTCCAAGAGCCATTTTCTCCAGTTCTTGATGAAATTTTCTTGCTCTTTATACTCTCTGTGTGGTCTATATCATCTTCTAAGGCTTCCAATATTCCTTTATGACTCCAACCCTCCCCTTCTCCTTAGTTGAAGACCCATATTTCTTGCTTTTTGCATAACATTTGTTTCCACTTAGAAGTATGTTCCACTGACTTCTGAAACTCATGTCCAAAACCAAATTTATTAGCTTCCTGAATAAACCTCATGTTATAGTCTTCACATCAATTCATAAACTCAAGGCCTCCCAACCTGAAAATGATGCTTTCATCCTCCCATTATCCTATCTTCACACCTTATTGTCAACTGGTCCCTGCCTGTATGGTGCAACATTACATGAATGGTCTTTTAAAATCAATGCTGTCACTGCCTTAGAAACATCTTTGTATCTTGCTTCTACTACTGTTAGAACCTCATAGGTGATCTCCCTATGCCAGATAGCTCACCTTTGTCCTCTTCCTTGTGAAATCCCTCCCTCACAGAGTTTTCTTCCCAAGATAAAAATCTCATCATACTACTTACCCACTTTCAGTCTCTCATATTATCGCATCTGTGAAATAGTCTGAATTTTGCCGTTGGTTAGGATTTGTTATTCTCTTGTCTGTACTGTCCATCTATAGCTCCATGTTTGCTATTGTGGAGTGTTCTAATGATTTCTTTGTTTAACTCTCTGAGTTGCTCAACGGCTAGGGTTGTGTTTTAACCTGGGTGACTCCAGCCCCAGGGAAATATTTAGTTCTTCAGTAGGTGTTCAGTAAATGATTATAGAGTATATAGTAATTAGACTTTAATAAGCTTAAAATGTGAACCCTGTGTTCTGTATAAATTAACATTTCTGTTTTTAATCCTTGTGGATTTTAATTTTTATGATGTCCTAGTCAAATTTCACTTAAAAAATTGTGATCTATCTCAGACAATCTCCAAATTATGTATTCTTCTCCAGTTTCCATGGCTAGGGCAGAGTCTGCTGGGCAGCTTAACCTGGGGCTGAAGTGATATAGTAGGTAATAGAAAAATAAATGAATTTACATTCAACTCATCCCTAAAATCAGATATAGTAATAGCAGTAGCCTTTCCAGATGAGAAACCAGGAAGACTAAATTCATTATAGAGGTGAACCCATGTGAGCAGGGCAGGCAGGCATCTTTTGCATCTAGAGATCCCCTGTCTCTCATTTTGTGATCATTTCTTTCACAATATTCATTCATTCTCTAGTTACCTTTTCCCTTCATTCCCTGCAGGTTTAAATTTTCCTTTCCTTCCTTGCCCTACAGTGGAGCCAGGGCCTGGATTAGGTATCAGTGTACTCTTCTCTGGACTTTGTGTCATGCATCTCATGTCTCTACTACTGCTTTAAACATGCTTTTTTTTTTTTTTTTTTTTGTGAATTCGTAGTCAGCTTGTAGTTTTCTGGGAGACAAAGAATCATTTCTCTAGAACTTGACATTTTCTTTGCTTTTCCAAGGCCCCTTTTCCCATTTTCCTTGTGAGGACCTAATGGTAGTTTCCTCTTTCTTTGACAGGTGTTTTTGGATCAGCAATATATAGGAGTCCTGGATCGTTCCACGAAACAGCTGACCATTCCCAGGGAAAATGTATATAATCCAATGTTAATGGACTAACAATTCTAGCACCTGCCTAGGCCCTAGGCTCAATTGTAAGCGTGGTCTGGCCCCATGGTAGCCTATTTCTCTTCAACTGCCCTTGGCATTGCTCCTTATATAGGAGCCAGACGGGGATGAGAGAGAGCTATGTGTACCTCTGAGGTAAAAGTGTATATGCTTTGTGTGAGCAGAGCATTTCTGTGTTTGATATTTGTTGTTCAAAAAACTGTGAGTTGGTCACCAGCCTCAGTAGAATCTCTGGTAAAATGTATAAGTGACTCTTATTTCCTGAAAGGCTAAGGAGGGGGGTGCGGTGGGGAGCAGGAGCCCAAAGGGTTGGCTTGACTCTGATCTGGAGGTCTGTAGGCTTGCTCTACCATCACCCTACTTATGACCTAATCTTAGTTCCACAGGAGACCTAGGAGGTCTACAAAAGAGTGCATGAGTGGTCACCATTCTGGCTGGTCTGTGTTGGACAGGTATCCAAGGATTACCTGAAATTGAGGATCTTAGTGGAGAATCAAGGCCGACTTGCCTATGGGCAGGATATCAATAATGAGAGAAAAGGTGGGCCCCAGAATGGAGAAGCTTGAGACTTGAGGCACCAAATTCCTTTTGTTCTTCCCTCGGGCTAAGGAAAGTTATGTCCAGGTACATGGTTTGGAAGAGAGTAGGATGTCTCAAACAATGAGAAACCTGCGAGGAAACTATAACCAAGGCTTGCCTTGATGGGAAAGGATGATGATGATGTCCTTTCTCCTGGGTTCCCACAAGGATGTTCTCCAGTTCCCAAGCCAGTGCACTGCCTTTTTGGTAGGATAGCTGTAGAAATGCCCTTGGAGGATTAAGTGTTAGAGTTTGAGTTTTCCTTCTCTGGAGCCCAGTGCCTGTGTCTTGTCCTTCCCTTAGTCTTCCCCTTGGGCTCCAGGGCACAGAGTCATGCACCGAGTACTTTGACCTACCTGAGAGTTAAAGTTAGCCTGAGCCACTGTGCTAGAATTTTGGTGACTTCTGCACTATTAGAGATATATGCACTACTCTAAGAGGTGTACATGTACACTCAGGAGGAAGAATCTATGTAGGAATTTATAGAAACCTTCCTTCTAATGAAGCCTGGAAAGCGTCTTCCTTCAGGGGAGCCCTGACCACAGCCAGTTCACATCTTTGTGTCCTTCCTGCTTCCTTCATGCTCCCTTTCTTCCTTCTTCTACAGGTTTAACTGGGGATATCTATCTGAACAAGTCCCCATTAAGAAGATTTAAAATATATAGTCTGGAGATGAGCACTAAATTCCTACAATGGTAGGTGCCAACTGTTGACTCAAGGTGACTGGCCAAAGATGGTAAGCATTTAGAAATGAAACTCAGAGACTATCCAGACTAAACCCCTTGGTTTTCAAATAAGAGATCAAAATCCAGAACACTGAAAGAAGTGAACCCAAGTTTTGTAGTTGTCTGGGGCACAATGGTGATCGTCCTCTAGTTTACCCAACTCCTGGTCTGCTGTTTTACTTACCAAGTCATACACCCTAAATGGCATTTGCCTGTGCTGTAGGAAGGATACCTGGCTCCAGCAGAAAACAGACTTACCTCAAAAGTCACAAATGACACATAAAGAAGGGCATGACCTTTCCACTTGTGTTTGACTCTCTTAGGGACATTCCTAACATGTGGAAACCAGTCTTACTCCAATTTCGGGGCCCTGCCTTCTTCCTCGGTATCCTGAAAGTTGGTAATTACCCCAAAGACACCTTTGTAAAGCTGGAGGTTAGTGATATTTCTCCCCTGCCTGTGTGCCCCACCCCCAACCTCCCATCCCAAAAGAACCTTTTAGAAAAAGCTCCTTGGTGCATGGGCCCTGCCCTGTGTAAGCAAATCTGGGCTCCCAGGGACCTTCGCTACTCTGCAGAGGCTGACCTTTCCTGTTGATGAGGATGCAGGGTGGAAGATAAACAAATGTGACAGACAGACTAATGCGCTCTAGTGTGGACAGCTATAGAATCCATGGTGAAGTTAGTGACCATGATCCACTAGTCCCTAGACATAATTTAGGATGTTGAGACCCATAGCACCCAACGTGTGGTGGGGATATTGTAGGTGAAATTCCAAGGCACACTTACTGCTACACCTGAAATTCTACAACTCTACCTAGGTTTTGGGCCCAGCATATTCTGATAAACACCTCATAGTAAATGGAAATGCCCTTCTCTGACTTGGGACAGATACAGGGAGATGAAATAGAAATCAGTGCCCTCCTCCTTGAGGCCTGCTTGTTGAGCCAACCTCAGGCCAGCAGCAGGAGCACAGAAATCTTCATGTCACCTCCCATCTGGGGCTATCCTGTAATCTATCCTGTGTGAGTGTGTCTAGGTCTATGATCATGGTATACAAGAGGTTTGTGTGTATGTGTGTGTGTGTGCACGCGCGTGTGTGTATTTTCACTCCTTGTGTCTTTACATCTAGAACTAAGATCTTGAATCCTCTGTTCCAATCTTTTTTAGGGCTGGACAAAAGGAGTAATATTCATCAATGGAAAAAACCTGGGACGCTACTGGAATATAGGTCCCCAGGAAACCCTTTACCTTCCAGGACCCTGGCTTCATCCTGGATTAAATAAAGTAAACTCCCCTCACTGTACTTCCCACCTCCCAATGCACTTTACTTGGACTCTGCCTTGCCTCAGGGGTTGAACTTGGACCTCACGGCATCCCCATCTTCTTGGCAGATCATCGTGTTCGAGGAATTTAAAGCTGGCACAATGATCCAGTTCACAGAGAAATCTCATCTAGGTATGGTGTTCTGGAGGGTAATAGGCAGAATCTGGGACAATCTTTCTAGTTGAGATGGGGATAAAGAAGGCAGAAGGTACATTATTTCCCTGGAACCTGACCCCTTCCTCACTGCCCTTGCATGATAGCCAGATTTTCTCTTATACTAGTCACAACTCCACTCATCACCTCCCATTTTAGGCTGACCTAACTAGCCCACTCTGCTAATGGCCTTAACCTAACTCTCTCTGCCTCCCCTCCTTCCGGACATTTCCACTGTGCTTTCTGGATATCTACCTGCCTCATTGTAAACCAAGGTCCCAACATCCTCCATGTTTTGACTTTTATAAAACTTATATTTTCTACTGCTCTTCTTAAAAAATTTATTTTTAAATTTATTTTTCAATTACAGTTGACATAAAATATCATATTAGTGTCAGGCATATAATACATTTCGATAACTTACAAAGTGGTCACCACGATTGTCATACTGCCGCGTTCGATAATTCCAAGGCACTTTTTCCAGGCCCCCTTCTCAGGTTGCCATAGTCAAGGAATGCATGGCCCAGTCCCAGCAGGTGACAGTGTTGCAGGCTTTCTGGGCCTGTGCACAGTGAATGTCTGGCGTCTGTGTGCCCAGCCTCCCTTCCTCCACGTTCCCTTCGTTAGAGCCTTTGTGAGACTGATTAGGTGCCCTTTCTGCCCTGGACCTGGGACATACAATAGACCAATCAGACTTTCTTTTCCAGGATATTGAATCTTGAGCAGTATGACACAGAGTAGAAATTGATTGAGCTGAGTCATTTCAAGAGTCTTGCCGTGAGTAACCTACCAGTCCTGACACCTAAGTTTCTGGAACTACCCTGCCTTCTCTGTTTATCCCAAGCCCTGCTTTGGGTCTGCCATCCTCTTCTTAACCTTCTAGTACATTCCTCTTTTCGCATAAGTTAGATAACCTGTCTGTTTCTGATGCCTACAACAAAATAAAGCTACTCCGTGTAAACCTTTATTGTATTGCTACAATAAAAGCTGTCCACCAAATAAAATGTTGAAAAAAATGAGATGCTCAGAATACTTGACTCTACAAATGTAAATCTGAAGCAAATGTGATTTTCCCAAGAAACCAAATAAGATATAAAAGTTAATGCAGGAAATGTCAGGCAGTTCACATATGCTTTGCGTTTTCAGTGTAAAAAAACAAAAAAAGTGTTTTCCTTTTCCTTCCCAGTGCTTGTTTCCTACCATTATTTTTTAATATTCAGGTGAAAACCTGCTTCTTTGAGACTTATGCCAACCAACTACCCTATTTGGTGCCTCTCATTGCCTTACCATTCTTTACTTACCTCCTGGTTATCACCTTTGGCACCTTATTCACAGCTCTTCTTAATTCCCTTATCTACCACTAGCCTTCCTGTGGGTGGCTGCAAACCTTCTGAGCCATAGCAAAGAGCAGAGAGAACCATCTAAGTTCTTGGGGTGAATCAGCTTGGTGGCACAGCATGGGCAGGCAGGGGGAAAATCTACGGAGCTTCACTTGTTCAAGCCTCTGCAAATCCCAGCACCTCATAAATAGGCCGTGGGATTAGCTGGCAGCTTCTGGGGAACCTGGAAGCATGAGTTACCGTGGGGGTGAGTTGACACTGCACCAAGGACTGCTGAGGAAGCTCCCAAGCCAAGACTAAAAGGAATTGCAGCTGGACCTAAGAGGCTCTATGAGTTTTGGTGGGACCTGGGGCCAGGCCAGTTGTACAGGGGGCAGAAATCAGCCCCCAGTCAACCCCAAGGGTCAATATCATGAGTATATTCCTCGTATCCGTAAATGCCAGAAGGCCAGCAGCACTCATGTAGACAAGGACACCGCAGAGGCTATTGGTCTAGAGCTTTCTGCTCAGCACTTCCTTCACTGCTCCACCACAACTCCACATCTGTCTGTCAAAGCCCATCAAGGAGAGAGCAGCAATGACACAGGCTCTTACTTTTCATAGAGCATAAATCTTAGTGGACTTCACAGTCACTTGAGAGCTCATGAAAACATGGATTGCTGGGCCCCATCTCTAGAATTTCTGATTTGGTAGGTCTGAGTTGAGGCCTGAGGATGCTAATATTGCTGGTCTGAGGACCCCACTTTGAGAACTTTTGTCATAGAGCAGCATCTCAACCTCAGCACTATTACTCTTTTGGGTCAGATTATTCTGTGCGGTGGGAGCTGTCCTGTGCATTGTAAAATGTTGTAATTCTAAAGACGTCTATTTAAACTAACTTAAATTAGCTTTAATATTAATAATTTCCCAAGTCACACAATCTTTAAAAGCTTTTGGGTTAGTTTTTGTTGTATTTCTTAATTTATATAAGCACTTAATTTCTTTAAGACAAACAGCTCTTTTTATAAAATGACTTTAGTAATTTCCTTTGGAAGTAGTCATATATGCACCTATATAGATAGACACGTAATTATGATTTTGATTATTTAATTCTTGGATAGCATTTGTTCCAGAGACATGCTAGAAACCCATTAATTTATAACAATGGAAATAAGTTGTTTGTTCATTGAGATGGCTAAGGCTTTAAGATTTTTATTTGTCCTTGATGAACACTTATTTAAGGAGAATGGGGAGGTGACTGCTTAGACAAGAGAACATTTTTAGCTGTTTGTGCTTTTGAAAAACTTTCTTTTTCCACTTTTTTCCTTTAGTTTGTTTAGTCTCAGGCCGTTGTGGGCTGTGTTTACTTCTCTTATTATCTGTAGGAAGGCCTTGAAAGTTCCTGAGGAGGTTTTAAAAATCCTATCTCTAATATTGCCAAATTTCTGATCATAGAGTATTAAATTGTTTGAAATATCTTGTCAGGTTTCAGGCAGGGCAAACAGTAAGAACTTTTAAGGTACCTGCTTAGATGGCCAAAGTTTCTTTTAGGATTCTTTTAGAGCTATTTTTCTTCGTCTTTTAAAAACTTCTGATTATAAATCAAAGAATGTATTCCAATTTCCCAGAGAGATTTGGATTCCTCTCCTTATGGAATCTTTCTTATGACAACAGAGACAAGAAGAGGAAACAAAAGAGTATACAACCATATGAATCCTCATCCATCAGGGAAACTCGTGCAAGCTGTTCACCCCACAGAGCATTTATAAGGGTGAGAGCTGTGAAAAGTCCCTCCTAAGGAAAAAAATATTCTTTTTTGTGTGGTAGCAAGGTCCTGTGGCATCCTGCTGCATGCTGGCACCAGGACATTCATCCCTGGGGCAATCACCCACCTTGAAGGAAAAACTCCCTTGAGAGAAACCCCTCCTGATCTCAAAGGCATTTGACCTCATCCAAAAAAGGAGAGAGGTCTAAACCTAAGAGGACTTCACAGTTCATGGAAACAGCTGTAGGTACTATACCCAGTTCCAGGGCACACGGTCTATGAAAGTGAGGCCATTTTAGATCCCCATTCTGATACAAGGTATGTTAATCTAAGAATAAAAAGCCAAAGTGAGGGGGCAGCAAGCATTTATTGAAGATACAAGAAAAATAGCTATTCATGAAGCACTGATTCAGGCAGAAAGCCACATTAGTGTTCTGATTAGGAGACAAAGACAACGGGTATTTATGAGAAAGGGAAAAAAGAGCAATCATCAATAGAAGGCAGGTGTTTCTATTGGTGCAGATATATTAACATTGTGACACTAATTCTGAACAATGTTTTTAATTTCAGTCATATCTGCTTTTTTTTATCCTTGCAAACAGTTATTTGGGACACAGTGTTGCTTTAGGGTCAGTCTAAAGGATATTTTGCCCTGTTTTAACATTCCAAAGATTGGAGACAGGAAGTGCAAGGCAGTTCCTCTTCCTCTGGGACGGCAGTTCTGACTCCATTTTAAATCGGCGTCATTTATATTTTACAACACTAAGCACTGTCTCTCATGGGCCTCAGTACTGGCCATCCCCAGTCTTTGTTTATTTCCTGCATAGCCTCGCCACAATCTATATTCTATATTTATTGTCTTTCTCTCACTAGTCATAAGCTCCAGGAAAGCATTGACCTTACCTGTCCCTACTTACTGTTCATGTTCCCATTGTGTCCCAGCATTTACTTAGTTCCTGGAACGCAATGAATGCTTAATAAATATTTGTTCAAAGCTGTCATGAATTATACTTTCTTAAGGACTAGCATTTTATAAAAAGCCTATTTTTATTCTCCCACCCCCTCAACTGCCACTGCCCTGAACAGGCTATTCTAAAAGAGACTCGATTCGTTTGTCTTCCTGGCCTATACATGTAGTATAGGACAGTGCAGCTTCCTTTTCTTTTCTTTTCTTTTCTTTTCTTTTCTTTTCTTTTCTTTTCTTTTCTGATTATCTATTCAGAGAAATGTCACCCAATGAATGTTAGTCATTGGGTCAGGATGAAGCTGCCATTTAAGGCCCAGAATGTGCTAGAGACTAGGAGTGGAGGGGTATGTCGGGGAATGAGTCTGTCGGAGCCTGCTCAGACCAGTTTTGCATCATAATCATGATTTTGATTTTTTAATTCTCAGGTAGCATTTTTTCCAGCTTCGTAAGCTCTTATGACAGGTGCGAATACTTCTGTGCCCAGGTTTTTTAAAGCAATATGGATGCATTTTCATTTTAAGACCAAAATAAAAGAGTTCACGCTCAAAATCTGAACCACTACAAAAACGGTTCTCTCCTTTCACTTTCTGCCTTTTAAAATTATGTTTCCTGATGTCCTATGTAGCATTTTATAGAAATGGGATACCAGAGATTTTAATCCAAATGGGAGCATAAGCCGAGTGACAAATCTCTTGTGTTTGAGAGGTTTTAGGTTTTTCAACATTCGATATCCCTCTAGAATCTTTTGTAAATAAAATTTCTCCTCGGTGTAATAAAAAAATTAAAGTTCTAGTATGGCTTTCACAGCCATCACCATGTCTGTAAGGTTTTCAGTTCCAAGCCTTTCCCTGGGAGTCTCTCATGTTATAGCTTGGGCAGCAATGGGAAACATCAATTACGTGTCTAAGTTAATCATTTCTTTTGGAATTGTAACAATCCCACACATTTCTCTCCTAATATTTTGTCTTTCACACTTTTATACAGAATCATTATTATAGTACTTTCTACATATACATTAAGCTTTGAAATAAAAATCCTATTCATATTATTTTCTTATTTTAAAAAAATGACTAAAATGCAGAAAAATATGGCAGTTACTGCCTCTGGTTCCTGACAAGATGCTGTATTAGCATGTCTCCAGCCTAACCTCAGAGATGCACAGAGGCTATATAACCAGCTGTGTTCAAGCCCTATCATGATCAATTTAGCTGACCTGATGTGGAAGAACACGGTGGCCCAGAGACAGAAAGGCAGGCAGCAGGATCTAGAGATGGGGTAGGGAGGGGGATGAGCACTTGCATATGCTTTGTCTTCTTTCCCCTGCTGCTCCAGGCAGTTTATTGGCACCTTTTTGAAGCTCTGGAGTTAAGAAAATAATGGGGCCCTGTTTGTCCAGTATTTATTTTAGGAGAATTTCAAATGTAGCATTTTACTATAGCAGTTTAGTATGGTGGTCTCTCGATGTTCAGGGTTACAGGCAATCAACAACTGCTTTTCAGGTGGCGATTGTTGACCTGACAGGTGCCCTGCTTTTGTCTGACAGCTGATGGTCATTCATTCTGAGTCTCACTCAAAGCTGATGGTCATGAGTTCTGTTAGTAATTAGCACACTTCCAACATGGGTTCATTTATGAGGGCCAATTGTATTAGTGAATGTAGTAATTGGAAAGCTCTTTGAGCAGTACCTGGCACATATGAACACTGCATAAATGTTTGCTGTTATTGCTATGTATTTTAAAAAGTGCCAGAGCGAATCTTGCTTTCTTATTGGACAACATGAATTTTGGAATTATTTTGACAAATGCCATGAATTCTTGGAATTTGGTTAGAATTACATTAAAGTATATTCGATTAAACTTTTAAAAAATAATGTCTTCCTATTCATAAGCCTTTCCATTTCTTAAAGTCTCCATTATGTATTTAAATTGAAGTTTAGAGCCTTGTATATTTGTTTTAGGCTTTATTCCCATGAAGTTTATATATTCTGTTATTGTGAAAAGTATCTTTTTCCTGTGATATTTTCTAACGGTGCTGGGGCTGGAGGGCTCAGGCTGCCTCCTTCCACAATTGCACAGGTGTGGGACCCACAGCTCTGGGGCACTGGGCACCAGGAACCAGGCTGGTCTGCTGAGAGGCAAGGGCTCAGAAGCTGGCTCTGTGGGGAACAAGGTATTTGCCTAATTAAAAGCCCTCACCTACACATATGCGTATTTCCACACTGAGGGCTGATTTTCGTTAATCTGGACTGCCTGGCCCAAGTGAGGCCTGTTGGCCCGTCCATGATTCCCTTCAATGAGAGACACCTGGAGGTTTTGATGGCTGGAGTAGAACAGGACCCCTACCAAATAGCAATCCAAATGAGGACTGACAGAGTCATTACCACTTTAAAGCTGCTGCCTCATAAAGATATTTGATTTTCAAGAAGGGTTTAGGGCTCTTTCCATCCTGGGGCTATGCAAGGTACTGAAAACCACCTGACAAGCTTCTGTTGCTTAATGGGCCCTGGCTGCCTGGGGAGCCTATTGCACATGCTGCTCTGAGGCACCAATACACTGAGCCAACCTGGGAACCAGAGAGGCAGGATTTCAAGGACTGGCTCTATGGGGAACAAGGCATTTGCCTAATTAAAAACACATATGTACATTGCCCCTGCTTAGAGCTCAGCTGGAAAAATGTGAACTTCACCAGGGTGACATCTTGCTAGTCAGACATGGTTGTCCCCAATGAGATACTCTGGGATGTCTTGAGGGCTACAAGTCCGAATGTGGACCTACTGGACTGTAGCAGCTTTAAAACTGCCAAATGTGGACCTACTGGACTGTAGCAGCTTTAAAACTGCCAACTTTTAACAGTATTCAGAAGGGGTTGAAGCTCTCTGCAAGCTGGGGGCTAGGCAGGGAGTTAGGAGCTGCCTCGATGAGCTCCCTGGGCTTGAATGGCTGCTCCGGGAATCTATTGCACATGCACGGGTAGCACGGGTCTAAGGCACAGGGCACCAGGAATCCGGCTGGTCTCCTGAGAGGCAGGGTCCAAGGGGCTGGCTTTATGGGGAACAAAGTATTTGCCTAATTAAAAGCCCTCACCTACAGATGGGCATTTACCCCTCTGAAAGTTGATCCGGGTAAATCTAGACTGCCTAGGAACTGTGAGGCCAAGCAACTGGACAAATTTTCTCTCTAATAAGACACTCCTGGACATTTCAAAGGATAGAGCAGCCCTGGACTCCATCAAGCAGTAAGTCTAAATGTGGACTGACAAGAGTGTGGCCACTTTAAAGCTGTTAACGCATAGCAGCCTGGGGGAGCAATGGGGTCTCCTGCTATGTTGGAAGCTAAGCAGAATGTTGAGAACCAACTGTATGATTCCCCTAGGCCTGGTAGCCCCTGGTTGTCCTAGGCACCTATTGTTTATTTGCTGGCAATGCAGGTCAGGGATGCTGGCAGGTGTAGGTAGACAAAGTCCAAGCTTTTAGGGAGACAAGACTTATGCCTAATTCTAAGCCCTTACCTACACATATGCACATCTTTTTTTCTGAAGGCTAATGTGGGAGAATCAGAACTGCCTTGCCAGAACAAGGTCAGGATGCTCGGCCGCAGTTCCTCTAACGAGAGACATCTGGACGTTTTGAAGTCTGAAGAAGCCAGAGATCACAACCAGAAACAAATCCAAATAAGGACAGACTGGACTGTGGCTGCTTTAAAGCTGCCACCACACTAATATTTATGGGAGGAGTGAAAGCTCTCTCCGTGCCAGGCTATAATGCTATTGGGAATTGCCCAGATGAAACTCCCAGTTCTAAAGACCTCCTGTATGCCCCTCGTATCTATTAGACATACATGGTTCATGCAGGTTGGGGGCTCTGGGCACTAAAAACCATGCAGGGGAAGGGAGAGGCAGATCCTAGGAGCTATCTATTAGGGGGATACAGCATATGCTTAACTAAAAGCCCTCACCTATAAATATGTGCATTTCTCTTCTAAAGAATGAGCTGGGATGACCTTTTCAGGGCAAATCCTTTCAGCCCTGCCATGATTCCCTCCAATGAAAGACATCTGGACTTCATGGGTGGGGAATCCTTGGACCACAATAGGCAGCAATGCCAAATGGAGACTGACTGGACTGTGGCCACTTGAAAGCTGCCACCTCACTAATATTTTCAGGAAATGTGGAAGATCCCTCCAACTTGGGGCTAGGTAGGGGGTTGGGAACCATTCTGAAACCATCAAGACCAAGAGCACCACTGACTGTCCCAGGCACCCATTGTGCATGCTCTGAGACACTGGGCACCATTAACAGGGCTGGTGACCAGAGAGGCCAGGTCCCAGGGATTAGTTCTTGGAGAGACAAGGCATACGCTTAATTAAAAGCCCTCCCATATGTATATACGAATTTCCCTCCTGGAGGCTGAATTGAGAGTATTTAGATTTCCTGGCTGGGGTAAGGTCAGGTGGCCTGGCAATACTTCCCTCCAATGAGAGACACTTGGATATTTTGATGGCTGGGGAAGCCTGGAATTCCACCGGGCAGAAAGTCCAAATGGGAACTGAGTAAAATGTGGCCTCTTTAAAGCTGCCTCCTCACAAAGATTTTTGATAGCTCTTTTCATGCTAGGGCTATTAAGTAGGTTAGGAACCCTTTTGAAGAGCCTCCTTGGACTGGACCATCCCCCACCACCCCCCAGGTGCCTATCGCACATGCTTGGGCAATGCAGGTCAGGGACACTAGCACCAGGACCAGGCAGCTGTAGATAAAGATCAGGTCCCATGAGACAGCTCTTAGGAAGGCAACACCTATGCCTAAATATAAGCTCTTACACATATATACTTTTATTTTTCCCCCAGAAGGCTGAGTTGGAAGAATCAGGACTTTCTAGCCAGGGTGAAGCCAGGCCAACTGGCTAATTCTCTCTGCAATGAGAGGTATCTGGACGTCTTGATAGCTAGGCAAGCCTGGATCTCCTCGGGCAGCAGTCCAAATGGGGAATGCTGCCCGAGGCTGTAGGCTCACATCTGTTTCCAGGAGAAGTAGCAGCTCCTTTTATACTAAAAACTAAATAGAGAGTTGGAGATCACCCACAAAAGCCCCCAGTTCTAAAGGATTATTCTCTGTTCCAGGTGCCTATTACATGTGCATGGTTAATGCAGGTCAGAGGTGCCAAAACCAGGAACCGGGCAGGTTTAATGAGAGGCCTGGTCAGAGAAGTTGGCTCATTCACAGAACAAGTCATAGACCTAATTAAAGCCCTCATTCACACATATGCACATTTCCTCCCCGAGCCTGAGCTGGGAGAATCTGGACTGCCTTGCCAGTATGAGGCTGGGAGGCCTTGCCATGTTCCCTTCAATGAGAGATACCTAGACCTGTGGACAATTGAAGAAGCTGAGGACCACAGCAGGCTGCAAGTCCAAATAGGGACTTATTGGACTGTGGATGCATTAAAGCTGCCACCTCATAATAATTTCTGGAAGAAGTCATTATGCTGAGGGCTGTGTAGGGAGTTGTGAATCGCCCCCAAAGAGCCACATAATTCTAAAGGGCCCATGTCTGTTCCTGTGCATTTTGCACATGTGCCAACATTGCAGGTCAGAAACACTGGAACCAGGAACCAGAAAGGTGTAGAGAGTGGCCTGGTCTGAGAAATCTGCTTTGGGAGACAAAGCACAGAAGTTTTAAAAGCCCTCACCTATACTTATGCACATTTCCCTTTGAAAGGCTGAGCTGGGAGAATCTGGACTGACTTCTCAGAGTGAAGTTGGGAGGACCACGGTACTTCCCAATGAGAGACACCTAGATATCTTGATGGCTACAGTCCAAGATAATCCCAGTGAGGATTGACTGGCTGTTGCTGCTGTAAAGCTGCCACCTCACAATAATATTTGATTTTCAGATGAAGTAGGGGGCTCCCTCCCAGCTGAGTGTAGGCAGGATGGTGGAAACCACCTTGATAAGCTTTTCATGCCTGGAGGACCCCAGCTACTTTGAGTACCTATTATGCAAGTAGGGAGGAAGCACTAGAAATAGGCTGATGTCCACAGAAGCAGGGTCCCAGAAGCTGGCTCAATGGGGAATAAGGCATTTGCCTAATTAAAAACCCTCATCTACACATATGCCCATTGCTCCCTTAAAGCAGAGTTGGAAAATATAAACTTAGAAGGGTGAGGCCTGGCTGGCCCAGTATGGTTCCAGAACTCCAATGAGAGACACCTGGACATTTTGATGGCTAGAGAAGCCTGGGACTGCATCAAGCAGCAAGTCCAACTGGGGACTGACTGGGC